GTGTGTGTGTGTGTGTGGTTATTTGTCAATCATTGTGATCGGTTCCCCCTTCTTTCCCTCCTCTCCCCCTACCCTTCTGGTATCTCTACTCCCATTCCTGTTCCTGGATTCCATGTGTCATGAGCTCTTATTTCTTATCTGTACCTGTGCACATGCTCCAGTCTAGCCTGCAGTGAAAGGCAGGACTGGGGTCATGATAGTGAAGCGTGAGGCAACCTCAAGGAACCAGAGGAATAATGTCTGTGTCATTGGTGCTTTACTGTGCCCTGGGTTGACTCATCCCTTCCTTGTGACCCTTCTGTGAGGGGATGTCCCATTGTTAACATATGGGTTTTGGGTCTCTGCTCCGACCCCCCTCGTTCTCACCAATATAGTTTTGTTTTTGTTTTTTTTTTATTGGGGGGCAAGACTAACTCTTGATGGGAGTGGAAAGTTTCATCTTTCTCCTGTGTAGTGGCTGGTGCTTTGAACTGCTGACCTTGTGTTTAGCACCGCATGTGTAACCCACTCTTCCCCCAGGACTCCATGAGACCTGTCTTAGTGCTCTCACTGTCTCCATGAATGGTATCACCACCCACACATTCATTCATTAAAAATACTAGGGCTCATCCTGATTTCTCCTTTCATGATCCAGCTGTTCCATGTAACACCAATTTCGATAGTTTTTTTCTCCAGAGTGAACTTTGAATCTGCTGGGTTCTCTCGAACATCATAGATCATTTATCACCTGTTCCACAGCAGACCAGTCCTCATACCTACTCTTGAGCCACCTTCCCTCCTCTCCATAACAACAGTGCCTGAGAAGGCTCTGGTGCCTGCCCATTGCATATGGAACCTGTCCAGTGCATATGGAGCCTGTCCAGTGCGTATGGAGCCTGTCCAGCATGTATGGAGTCTGCCCAGTGCGTATGGAGTTTGTCCAGTGTGTATGGAGCCTGCCCAGTGTGTATGGAGTCTGTCTAGTGTGTATGGAGCCTTCCTAGTGCATATGGAGCCTGTCCAGTGCATATGGAGCCTTCCTAGTGCTGATGAGCCTGGCGAGTGCCAATGGAGCCTGCCCAGCACGTGTGGAGCCTGCCCAGTGTGTATGGAGCCTGCCCAGAGCATATGGAGTCTGCCCAGTGTGTATGGAGTTTTTCCAGTGAGTATAGAGCCTGCCCAGTGCGTATGGAGCCTGCCCAATGCGTATGGAGCCTGTCCAGTGTGTATGGAGCCTACCCAGTGCGTATGGAGCCTGCCCAGTGTGTATGGAGTCTGTCCAGTGTGTATGGAGCCTTCCTAGTGCTGATGGAGCCTGGCCAGTGCTGGTGGAGCTGTCCAGTGCGTATGGAGCCTGCCCAGTGTGTATGGAGCCTGTCCAGTGTGTATGGAGCCTTCCTAATGCATATGAAGCCTGGCCAGTGCGTATGGAGCCTGCCCAGTGTGTATGCAGTCTGCCCAGTGTCTATAGAGCCTGTCCAGTATCTATGGATTCTGTCCAGTGCCTATGGAGCCTGCCCAGTGCCTATGGAGTCTGTCCACCTATATGGAATCTGTCCAGTGTGTGTGGTCTTTCCGGTATGTGTGGAGCCTGTCCATGGCATGTAGTATATGCCTGGAATGTATAGAACCTACCCAATGTGTATATTGCCTGCCCAGTGGGCCTGGCCTACATAGAACCTGATATCTGGCTTCATGGCCATCTCCCAGAGCATTTTCATCTTTTGAGGTAATGTAGCATTGCTGGTTCTATGGTCTGCATTAGGGTTGAACTGTGATCCCCCCAAAGTGTGTGTTGTAAATGGGAACTCCGATGTCTGGTTTTCTATCATCTGAGAAGGTTTTCTTCATGACAGGTGTGTCTAGCAGATTCCTTTTTGAGATTTAGGAGAAGATCAGGCACAGAATAAAAAAGCAGAGATAAGGAGCTCTGGGTTGGCGGTTCAAGAGTACCAGGTGCTCTGCAGAAGAAAGATGAGCTTATCATTCTACAAAAGATTCCATTTCAGGGCCCACAAGGGGTCACTGAGTCCGAACCCACTGGATGCAGTAGGTTTTTGTTGCTTTTCCATTTGGAGGCAGGCAGGCACACCAGATGAGGGTCACCCAGAACCCAGGACCTGCCCCCAGGGATCACAGAGAAAGTCTTCCCTTGGAGCTGGCCCCGGGATTCAGAGCGCTGCTCTCGGAAACAGCAAGAACACACCTTTCTGTGTGTGAAAGCTGCCCACTTGTACGATTTCTGTTACAGCAGCTCGAGGGATTGCTAGACCCCTTCTCAGAATACTGTTGTTAAATTCATGAAGTGTATTCTGTATTCTGTCTCACGGAAAACACCAATCCCTGCCGCTGAGTCACTTCCACCTGACAGTGACTACACACAGGGTTTGTGGGACTGTCTGTTTCAGATATTACCAATGACGTGGAAGTCGAGTTTTAGGTATTCAAGAACACACAGTGTAGTCCTGTGAGCCTGTGGGAGCCTCATTTCCCTCCTCCCTGGCCACGTGGTGGCAGTGAATGTGGACTGTTGGGGGTTCCTGGTTTGTAAGTCGGGGGTTCCCCAGGAATGGGGTAAATTTTTGGGTCTCATACTTCTGTACTCAGCTTCATGGGGTGGCCAGAGCAGAGATTAAAATGGGGCCACAAACCAGAAGAACACACACCATCTTGACTGCCTCAGCTCCTTTCCCTCCTCCTTAGACAACAGCATGCAGAGCGAGGTTCTCTGCTGTTTGGTTCTGTGGGACCCTTGGGTGTGTTCGAATTCCCAGCCTCAGACGCCATTGAAGGCATATATAATGTGAGACCATGCTCTGACTGCACTGGGCCCCAGGCTCCAACGTGCTGAGATACAGCTTTTGCCCAAGAAGCTCAAGTCTGGCTTGAAACAGCCTCTGCCCCTGCGCTCTGGGGGCAACCCTCTGAGAGCTCAGGAGTGCCATGGCGAGTGTCTCAGGGTCAATGGAGATTACAGGTAGCTGGGGAGAGCCCATGCCTCCACTGTCAGTAGAGTCTAGGTGCCGGGGCCACGTGGCAGCACTGAGGGGCCGCTCACCCTCGAGGCTCCTTTCAGATGGGCTTGCCCTCCTCTGGGGTGACCAGACAACATACTAACTAGACGGGGGGCTTTGTCTCCTTACTGCCTTGCAGGGGTGTGGTGGAGGAAAAGGCTGTTGGGGCCACTTACTGCGAGCACCTGGACGACCTGCTGGCACAGTCGGACTTTGTGATGCTGTCGGTCAGTCTGACCCCCCAGACCCAGAACCTGATTGGGAAGAGGGAGTTGAAACTGATGAAGCCCACGGGGACCCTCATCAATATTGGCCGAGGTTAGGAGCCCACGCATGTGTCTTTGGGAGAAAAGGTGCTGGAAACATAATTCCTGCGGGGGATGGGGAGGATGGGTACACTGTGGGATGACATTCGCTTCAGCAGCGAAGACACTCCAGGGAGGGCTGTGGAGTGGACCTTCATCCCCAGCCAGGGAGCAGGGTCAGTATGTGGCAGGGGCAGCTGCTCCTCACGTGGGCTTGTCCTCGGTGGCTGCTGCTGTTCTGTTTGCGTGTGACACAGTCATTTATGGGTCATGTCTATGCCCCTTTAGTTTCCTGCTGCATGTATAAGACACCAGGAGTCCCTGGGTGGTGCCAAGGTTAACAGCCTCAGGTGCTCATCCTCGGGCTGGAGACAGAGCCCACCCAGAGCTACCTTGCAGAAAGGCCTGGGGATGGATCTGCTTCCGCAATGCCAGCCTAGGGAAGCCCGTGGAAGCCCCTTCATGGGTTCTCCTGGGCACACAAGGGTCACCTTGCATCCGGAACGGCTTAACAGTGGCTGCTTACCTGAGCTCAAAATGCCACTGGGGACTTTGTCCTCCAGCCACAAATGCTGTGACAATTCAGAGCAGGGGGTGGGCAGTGGTTTGGCGGAAGACAGGCCTGAGCTTTGCATCAGACAAACCTGGGTTTGACCCCAGCATTGGTACTTCAGGAGCTGTGTCATCTTGGGCAAGTTGAACAAGCTATGAGCCTCAGTTGCCTCTTCTCTACAATGAATGATTGTTTGCTTGAGGGTTCATGGACTCTCATGACTGTTTATAGGATGGAGTTAGGCATTGAGGCACTATGGCATTCACGTGCCCTTTTTCAGACCTTTGACGTGCCTTTAAACACGGTCCTGGGAAAGTCTAAGCTGTATTTAAATGGGTGGCTGATAAGTCTTGTGTCGATTGTCTCAGTGTGGTGACCACAGAGGAGCTGTTTTGATTCAGGTCTTTTGGTGGATCAGGAAGCGCTGGTGGAAGCCCTGCAGAGTGGGACGATCGAAGCTGCCGCATTGGATGTGACTTATCCTGAGCCCCTGCCAAGGTGACTGGACAAATGAAATCTAGAGTCATTTTCCAGAGAGTGGGATCAAGTCCACAGACAGTGGCTTCTTTGGGCTTTGCATCCTTACTTTGTTGTAGAACTAGAGATCCCTGGAGTTGGACGGGCATGAGGAGCCCTCTGGTCCAGCTCAGGGGAGGAGGTGCACCTCCTGTGGGCCAGCTGTCCTCTGCCTCACCCCACTATAGACACTCTTCATACAGTCTGACTTGTTACATTGCACCCAAAGGCCTCCTTGCCCACTGACCCTGGCCTGCCTCTGGAGCATCCCTGGATGAGCCTGACCATATTCTTTCTCTTTTTTTTATTTGTATAAATCATTTTATTGAGGGCTCTTCCAGCTCTTAGAACAATCCATACATCCATTGTTAGAGGACACCTGCCTCTAACAACCAAAGGGTCTGTGGCACAATTGTATGGCTATAATATATAAAGGTCATTGTAAAGTCATAGAAGATAGGAGAGATAGGAGAGAGAATAAAAAAGGAGTCAGACATATTTTATGGTAGCATGCTCACCTCAGCCCCTGTTGGTGGTCTATGTGGAAGTGGGAGAAGAGAGAGAAGGAGCAAGAGTATATCTCCAATCACAGCTTATATATACTTGGGGGTGGGGTGGGCGTGCAAGCCCCCCTGATTACAGGTAACTATATGCAAAACAAGAAGGGGCTGTCCAATAGGCACACATGCGACAGGAAGGGGATGAACTAGGGGTATACATGCAATAGGAAGGGGAGGGACTAAGGGTACTAGGGGTACACATGTGACATGATGGGTGGATCCTAGATTCAAGATGGTAGCCTAACCTTGATCCTCCTTATCAGCAGGGAGTGGGCCTACTTAGGGTGGGTCTGATTGCCCTGGATGGCTGATAACCTCTAAGCAGCTGACCACCCACCATGACCTAGCAAGCAGTGTCCTAGGTCTGTCATACAATATAGGGGATAACTGTAGTATTAAATTTAAAAAAATGACGCTGATGGAGGGTGAGGGGCCGGCCCCCACCCGCTGATACTACTATTAGTACTACTTCTACTCGGATTCAGTAATGCACAATTGTACGGTTGAGATATATAAGCATTATATTAAAGTCATTGGGAGCATGAGAGATAATACAATAATACAGTCAGGCATGTTACATAGTACCATCGCTCACCTCAGCCCAGCTTGGTGGTCCACGTGGAGAGAGGGGGAAGGGAAGGAGGGTAAGGGAACAAGGGAGAGGGGGAAGAGTCAGGGAGGTCAGAGTCCGAGGAGTCCGAGAAGTCCCGCCTATATTGCTGACCCATTCCTCTATACCTTTTGGGGACATGCCAGCCCACTAATTACAGGTAGAGACATACAGGAAGGGGCTGCACTATAGGTTACACAGCAATGAGAGGGTGGTCTCTGGGTCTCCATAGGAACCATTATCAGTAGGGTGTAAACCCCTCCTACAGGAGCCTGTCCATTGTCTCCAGAGGCAGGGAGCAGGCCCACCCCTGTGGAGGGATGAGACAGCAGTCTGGCAACTGATTGCCTTCAGGGGGGGAATGCCTGCGCATCTGACCTCCCCCCACAGGATAACCTGGGGGAAAACCCTTTTGTATCCCACACATTGTATCAGGCACATTTGTACATATGTTGTCATCATCCTTTTCAATATTTTTTTTTCTATTTGAGCCCCTTGTATTGTTAGGTTTGAGCTCCTGGCCAGGACAGGGAGGTACACCTAGGTGGTCGGTACACTTGGATTGGCCCATCTAGGCAAGGTGAATTTGATTCACCCAATGGGGTCAACCAGGCCTCCCAGTGGAGGGGTGGGGGGAGCTGAACGGCCAGAAGTTTTCTCTCTAGCTCTCTCCCAGCAGCTGCTACACAGGGTAGCGCAGCCAGGCTGTGGTTCGTGCCCCAGACCCTGTCTGGCTTGTGTTCCATTTACTGTAAAACCTGGAACTGCTTCTAACTTTCATAAAACTCACTTGGAGCACAAACCAGGCTTCAGTGCGAATTCTTTCTTGTGCAAAGCCAAGGACTGAGGTATATCTCTCCCAGGAGAGGGATCTAACAGTATCAGCTCCTCATTTCCTGCCCCACCTTCCTGAACCCTTGATAAATTGTAAATTATTATTATTTTCATATCTTACACTGCCCGCTGTGTACCTTTACCCGTGTTTCTGTTGTTCATCACTGGGGGTGGGGGGTGGGGTGTAATATGTTAAGCATTGCAATTTGTTCCCTCTTTCTCCCCCTACTTTCCCCTACCCTCATGGTATTATTAGGTTTCCCGGGGTGGGAAATACCTCATTCCTTGACTTCCCCTGAGAAAGAAATAATGCTGGAGCCTGGTTTGCGATTCTAGTGTGTTTTGTAAAGCTTAGAAGCAGTTTCAGGCATTACAGTAAATGAAACACAAGCCAGACAGGGACCGAGGCCCGGCCACGCTGAACTGTGTGTCAGCTGCTGGGAGAGGGCCCCTTGTGAGAGGAAAGCATAGTTGGTGATGATACTGGTTAACCCCATTGGCTGAATTAAGCCCACCTGGAAAGTGTACCACACCTTCCTGGCTGGGAGCTTGAATGTAAACATGCCTTATACAGCTTCCAACTACCTGTAAGGTGGAGGGAAGCTTGGCGTGTAGAGGGACAACCCTTAGTTCTGCCTCTAGCTACGGAACAGTGTGGCTACTCCCATTATTATTCCTGAGGGGTTAACTGTCCTCTATTCCTCTTGTGGAGTACTCTACTCTGTACGTGCTGTGGTCTAGCAGGGTTTGTAAGGTAGAACTGGGGTCATGGTAGTTGGGGGGGTGGGGGGTGGCATTAAAGAACTAAAGGAATGTTGTGTGTCTCATCAGTGCCATACTGCACGCTGGCTGGCTTGCCCCTTCCTTGTGACCCTTCTGTGAGTGGATATCCAATTGTTTACAGATGGGCTTTGGGTTCTCTATTTGGGCCCCCCTCATTCTCATCAATATGATTGGTTTTTGTTTGTTTGTTTTGAGTCTTTTGATGGCTGATACCTGATTCCATTGACACCTTGTAACCACACAGGCTAGTGTGCAGCTTCCATGTGGGCTTTGTTGCTTCCCTGCTAGATGACTGCTTGTTTATCTTGAAGCCCTTAAGATCTCAAACACTCTATCTTTTAATAGCCAGGCACCATCAACTTTCTTCATCACATTTGCTTATGAACCCATTTTGTCTTCAGCAATTTTATCTCATGGATCTTCCCACGGTGAAGACACCGCATATGTTTCTCCTTGGTTTTGCCTTATGAGGCTAAACATCCTCATAGCCTTCATTGTAGCCTCAGAGCTGGCATCCCAGATGAGCTCTCACTGTTGTCAGCCCTTCCCAGTGCTTTTAGTTGTTATGAGCCTTTCAAACTGTGATCCTGAGAACTGTACACATCCATGTGTGTCCCAGTGGTGGTAGAACAATAAAACCAGTTACATTAGTAATATGTTTTCAAATAGTCACACCACAGTTTTTACTCTAGTTTTAGCCAGCTAAAACAAAAATTATTTGCGTAATAGATTTTTAATTTTTTTTAATCTAAAAATTTTAAATACATCTTTTGTATGTAGAATTTTACTGTCTCTATTTAATTTCATTTGTTGGTGTGTTCTGGTCCGTGATCCAGCCATTAAAAGTTGAGTCTTTATTCTGTTATTCATGAAAAAGTCCCTAACTTTGATTTCTACTCAGACAACAAAATACTCTCAGCCGAACATTTTACAAGAAGCCAAATTTAAATCCAAGTTGTTTAAGAGTGACAATAGACCCTACCAACCTTTCTGAGAAAAGCAATCGAAATTTGAATTTTCTGATGTCAAAGCTTTTTTTTACCCCTCCAAAGCTGTTTTTATTTAACACTCCAAGATGCTATTCAAGGAGTCTTGATGGTACCAGTAGTTTAAGCATTGTGCCACTAACTGCGAAGTCCGTGGTTAGCGTAAAGATGAACTGAGCCACAGGACGAGTGAGGGGCAAACTGAGGCACAGGGAGACAGACAAAGATAGCTGACAGGACAAAGGGAGAGCAGAAACAGAAATAGCTTTATTAAGGGGGCCGCTCCAGGGTCTAGCAAGTAGTCCAGAGGAATCGCGGGCCCTGTTTGGGGGCCCAGGATTTTAAGGGAGAGAGGGAAGTCTGTGCTACAGGGGACGATTTATGGCCCAGGATGTTAGCAGCACGGTTTATGGCCCAGGATGCAGTTTATCAGCTCTGGCAGGCAGGCTGACTGGTTCTCAAGGAGTCAGGAATTCCAGGCATTGTCTTCAGGTCTCCTCATTTCAGGGGGCCATCTGCTGACCTCTGGGGATGTGCAGGGAAGCAGGGCTCTGGCCTGCTTTAGCTTAGCCCATACACTTAGACCCCATGACCTGCACTAAAGAAGAAAGTTAAAACTGTTTCCTCTCATAAAGACTGACAGTCTCAGAATCCTTAAGCAGATGTTTTACTCTGTTACACTGTCCCTGTGAGTCTCAATCTTAATCTGTTACACAGTATCCCTGTGAGTTTCAATCTTAATCTGTTACACAGTATCCCTGAGTGTCTGAATATGTTACATAGTATCCCTGTGGGTCTCAATCTTAAATCTGTACCACAGTATCCCTGCATGTCTGAAATCTGTTACACAGTATCCCTGTGAGTCTGAATCAACTTGATGTTATTTACCTTTCTCATGAGTGGGCTGTGGAGTTTTCCTAAAACTAAGGATGCAGAGAGATCATCACTCTGATGGCTATTGTAATGTGTGGTTTATTGTTACCACTATCCAGTCACAGTACATATCTCCCAAAGCCTAGCTTAATTTAATAAGTGGTGCACACTCCATCTCTAGAGAACCCTATCTAACACAGCGGCCAACAAATTTTAATACTTATTTAATGAATAAGTTAATCTTTAGATAATAAATTTTATTTCTAATCCCTATCTTACCCTCGTCAGATATTTTTGAGTTTTTAAATCTTTATTTTTTTGGAGAGCAATTCTGTT